CGGCAAGGTGACCACCTGCAGCCAGGGTGGAGGAACACTGTGTTGAATGTGGGCGAGAGCTGCCTTTGCAGGCCGCGTGGGAATGGCCAGTGTGTGACGTGTCCTCTGCACCCTCCTGTGTGGGTAGACCTCGTCATGAATGCAGATCTCACTGACCCGTGGGCCCCTGACCCTTGGGCCTCCCTCTGGGGGTAAGTGATGCCTAAACATGGGCTCTGTATCATTCAATCCCAAGCTTCTTCCACGACAGAGGCATCCTGTTACCTGCTGGGGAAAGGAGACAGACAGGCAGGGAGATGCAGGCCAGGAAGCCAGGGCTGGGGCTTCACACTGCACATCCCCCTAGCCCTGATTCCGCAGGGAGAAAGCCTGGGGTTTCATACTATACACCTCCCCTCACCAGCTTTCTCTCACCAGTTCCTTTCTCCAGGCCTCCCTCCAACTTGGATGCATGTTTTCCTAGACACCCATTTCTGCTGTGACGAAGTCACTTCTGTGCTGTCACTGATGACACCTGGCAGGGGGCTGGCTGTTGCTGGCACTCTGGGAAACTGCGAGGGCACAGCACGTCAGTCCCAGGGGGACAGGTGCCCACCCAGCGCTCTGTGGGGAGCACCGACAGGTGGCCCACGTCTCCGACGCCACATTTGCCTCAGGCACTCATTTAGACAAGGACTCTGCAGGATGCTCCAGAAAGCCACTCATTGCCATCCATTCCAACAGTCCCACTGATACAGCCATCTTGCGTCTTCATAAGGCTTCTGTGACAGAGTGTTGAGCTAATTCCTTCCCAAGGAAAGCCAAATTGGCACAGTGTCAGAACTCGATGGATGTCGCCTTTTTTGTAAAAACAACAAAGTGTCTACATGACCTAAAGCACACTTGGTGCTCATTCTGTAAAGTCTGCTTCTGGAGACTCCAGGTCAGATCGGTCCTTTTAACTCTTCCAGAGAACTGCCAAAGGAACGGTGATGCGCCTCCCACGTTAGTAGATTCTTCGGCCTTTGTGTGAACATCTCGTATTTGCTGTTGGGGTGCTACAGACGGCATTTATTGAGATTAATTTGGCCTGACCTGAACAAGCCCCCGCATTCATCTAGAAAGGGTAAAAACATAACATGTGACATGGACGCTGTCAGTGGCTTGCGAACTCCACTTGGAAGCAGAACAATCGATGAAGAGATGGCGGGACTCGGGACCTGCTGCCTTCTGGAGCGGATGGTGCCTCGCTGAGCCTCTCACTTCAGGGAGTGCCGGCAGGTGCTGGAGGCCGACGCCAGCTTTTGGACAAGCCCTGTTCCGAGTCTTGTCAGGCGTGAGCCTTCGTGATACATGAGGAATTGCAGCAGAAGCAGCAATAAAACCAGGAGAAACCTGGCTACAGTGAAGTCCGCTTTACGGAGAGTCCCTGGAGGGCAGCAAAGCGTCCTCTGTTCTTGTCAAATAGACTAGCGTGCGCAGAGCCTCTCCCTGCACAGGAGACAGAAACCCGCAGGAACGTGCATCACCCAGCACCCGAGGTGTCTGCTGATGTCCCCCACACGCTTGCCGTCTCCAGAGAAGCTCCTGGCCCAGCAGCTGGTGCAGGCGATGGCAGCAGCCTCCCCACCTCCACTCCTGCGCGCCTCCCAGAAGCCACTCACACACCACGGCGAGGGGGCAAGTCTTCCTTCTGCCAGACTTCCTCCCAGAGAGGTGACAAGCAGGCAGCCGTGGGCATCTCTGGAGCAGCACATACCCTGCTTAGGGAAAGCAGCTGGCGTGGACAGCACAGGGAGCCAGAAGGACACAACCCACAGGCAGGAGATGGTTTTGTGAGACTTGGCTGCTGAGGCAACTCACCGCTTGGTTGGCTGAGCTGCGAGGCAGAGGAAAGGTTCTTGAAGAAAATAAAGCGCTACGCCACTGAACACACGAAGAGTGAGAAAGAAAAGCTGATAGGGAGAAAGCTCTCGTGGTCTAGAGAGAAGACCAAACTAGCCACAGCATTTCCTTAGGCTGAAGCCTAGTCCAGAGCAAGGCTCCAGCTCTCTTCCTTTCTCTGAAGGCTGACAGAGGTGAGGAAGCTGCGGGAGAAAAGGGGGAAGCCAGCTGAGGCCGGTTCGTGAGGTTTAAGGAAAGACGCCGCCTCCACCACGTGAAAGCTCTGGTGAAGCAGCCAGTTCTCCAGAGATCCTGGGTGAAGGTGGCTACACTAAGCAAGAGATACTCAGTGTGGATGAAACAGCCTTCTGTGGGAAGAAGAGGCCATCTCGGACTGTCATTGCAAGAGAGAAGTCTCATTGCCTGGCTTCAGTGCTTCCAAGGACAGGCTGACTCTTGTCAAGGGCCATTGCAGCTGGTGATTTTTTGAAGCCAAAATGCTCACTGGCCGTTCTGAAAATCCTGGGACCCTTAAGAACTATGCTAAATCTACTCTGCTTGTGCTCTATAAATGGAACTACAAAGCCTGATAGACACCACATCTGTTTATAGAACATTTAAAGCCCGCTATTGTTTCTGACCTACTGCTCAGAAAAATCGGTTCCTCTCAATATGTTACTGCTCACTGACAACGCACCTGGTAACCCAAACCCTGATGGCAACGCACAAAATTGACGTTTTCATGCCTGCTAACACAACCACCATTCTGCAGCTCATGGAAGAGGAACACATCTTTTTAGTCCTGCTGTTTAAGAAACACATTTTGTATGGTGATAGCTGCCATAGCGATTCCTCTGATGGATCTGGGCAAAGCAAGTTTAAAAATCTTCTGGAAGGGATTCACCATTCCAGATGCCAGTAAGAACATTCATGATTCAAGCGAGGTCAAAATATCACACTCATAGGAGTTTGGAAGACGTTGACTCCAACCCTCTTGAGTGACTTTGAGGGCCTCAAGTCTTCAGTGGAGGAAGAAACTGTAGATGTGTTGGAAACGGCAAGAGAAGGAGAGTCAGAAGTGGGGACGCAAGACGGAACTGCGATCCCAGGAAAACACCTGAACACTCGAGGAGTTGCTTCTTATGGGTGAGTAAACAAAGTGTCTTCTTGAGATGGAACCTACTCCTGGTGAAGATGCTGTGGACGTTGTTGGAATGACAGCAAAGGATTTAGAACAGTCTTACATTTTGTTGGTGGAGCAGAAGCAGAGTCTGAGAGAACTGACTCCAACTTTGAAAGAAGTTCTTCTGCGGGTCAAGTTCTGCCACACAGCATCGCATGCTACAGAGAAATCTCTCGTGCAAGGAGGAGTCAATCAAAGCAGCAAACTTACCTGCTGCCTTATTTTAAGAAATTGTTGTCGCCACCCCAGCCTTCAGAAACTAATACCCTGATCAGTCAGCAGGTATTGTACACCGAACAGAATACAGTGTAAGTTTTATATGCACCAGGAAATGAAAATATTTGTATAATTTGCTTCATTGTGGTGATCTGAAACCAAACCCACACTATAACTTACTCACAAGGTAAGTTTCTAAGCACAGCATGGGGGCATATCTAACTACGGGTATCATTTTAAGTACTAGCTACTCTGGAATTTACACTTTCACATGAATTCTAGCATCAGTTTTAATAGCTCTGTGGGAAGTCTTATTGAGATTTTAAAATAAGATTGAATTACATCTTCCAATTGCTCTCATTATTTTCACTTATCTTACTGCACTGGCTGAGACATCCAAGAACACTGCTGAGTGGGAGTAGAAGAGGGTATCCTTATTTGGTCTCTGCAAAACATTATTCTAGCATTTTACCTTTGTAGATGATGACTGCTTGATATAACCTTAACAAGTTAAGGAATTTCTAACTTGATAAGCTATTTTTGTTTTTAACCAAACATGATGTGGTGACTTTAAATGAGACCTACGCCAGTTAAAGACAATTAGTCTATTTTCAGTGTTCAAAAACTTAAAAAGACAATATTCAATGACAGTCAAGACTTGGTACTACCTTTGAACAACATATACATCTAGGCATACAAATGACACAGAAGCCTCTCCCCTGAAAAACTCATGATTACAGCGAAATATGTATCAGAGCAATGTTCCACACTGATACACAAAACATACCTGGGCATTCAGGAAGCTCAGAACCAAGCTGTCCAGATAAAACACCTTGGGTGTGACAGCCTGCCCATCTGTGCTATCCTGACACTCCCTCCCAGCATCCCACCTACTCTAACGTACGTCAACCTTTGCTGGGCTCGATGGCTCAGCCTGTCATCCCACGCTTTGGGAGGCTGAGGTGAGTGGACTGCCTGAGCCCGTGGGGTCGAGACCCGCCTGGGCAACTTGGCGAGATCTCATCTCCACAATAAATCAAAAAATTCGCCGGGCGTGGTAGCGCGCGCCTGTGGTTCCACCTACTCGGAAGGCTGAGGCGGAAGGATCGCCGGAGCCCAGCAGGTCGAGGCTGTAGTGGCCGGGAGCGGCCACTGCACTCCAGTCTGGGCGACAGAATGAGATTCCAACTCAAAAACAAAAACAAAAACTTATGTCATCCTAAATGTTCTTCTCTTACTTGACTATTCTATTGAGTGGATTTCCTGCCAACTGCCACAAATCTTGAATGGAACAAGATGAAGTATACGTGAAAAATTTGAAACAAACATGGCTCCATTTGGATTCAAAGTGAAAAATGAGAAGAATGTGACATGGCTAGGAAAGTACTGTTGGACCTGCAGCACAAAGCCACCAGCTGCAAGGACATCTCGCGGAGGCCCACATTATGGCTGGTAAGCCTCTGGCAGGTGAATGAAGGCCTGGTCTAGAGGAAACTGAGTCGTGGTGTGAAGTCTGCTGATCCTTACACTATTAGTCACGAGCAGCCATTAGTAAATACATCTTAATTGCATACAATGAGGAGAAACCCAGAAGCCATTAACACTGTGAGTAATACACAATTAATTAAAGTTTGTTGAGTAGACAATCCCAGACCATCATAAATCTTTTTTGGAAGGCATCAAGGAAAAATGATTACACTAACCTCATAAAATTACCCCTTCCAAACAGAAGTGTAAACAGGACCCATAATTTATAATTTTATTGTCTTTCCTTTGTGAGGCTTTCAACATTCATTTCTGTGACTTAAATAAAAATCTCACTTTCTCCCTTTTTGGCTCTAAAATGCAGAAAAATAATAAGAATAAATTTGAGCAACATTTTTGGTCCAAATAGTTCACACAACAGTCTCCATGTAGTTTTCTGCTATTCCACAACTACCCTTTCACAAAGCTGGACAAATCTTTCATACAGGTCAAATATATAAGTCTCTTAAGATGACCTGGGAAATATGCAGTTAAAAATAATAAAGCCCACAAATCACAAATATTTTGTTAATATGCAAACTGCCAATTTTAGCAAACCCAGTCCACTTAACTGTTACAAAATTCAGTGGGAGATGAGCAATACGTGTCTGTCTCTGACAAAGATAACAAGTGTGGTGCTGTGACTAAGAAAGGAAAATGCAATTCCTGGTTACACTGTTACTCTGGCTCATCGACGCTCAGGAACACGTATGGCTTTGCCATGTCCAAAGATGTCAGGCAAACGTGATCGAAGGTGCACTGGGCTGCCACACGTTCTCATCATACAAATCTTCTGGGAGCTCCTCTTCATCTCCATCAGGAAAATAAGTAGGGAATGGAAGGTTTTTACAAAAATCTTTATATGCAGGCAGGCTAGAATCTCTGACCTGAGGGAAGAGACAAAATCTCCTATTAATAAGTGATACAAATGAAATTACTTAAAGGTAGCCTGCTTCACCTATTATTCATAGTCAAAGAATATCTGCTACTACTTTTTCTAATGTGACTAACACGACTGTTACATACATAAAGTAAAAAGAACTCAGTCAATACATTTTCTATCCCAAAAAAATGTGATTAATCTAATCAGAGAAACTCAAGTTAATCAGTTACTGCGTAAGAGTAAAATAACCAATCATTACTTTGTATCATAACTTATAATAAACCTCTAGAACTGCTCAAAAGGATAAATCATTCTAAAATTACGACTGTTATCATTTGTATCCAGATTCACTTTTCAAATATAAATATAAAGCCATGATATAAAGTAGCATTTTTGTTAGTCTGAACTCTTAAGAGCATATAATCAAAACTTCACCTTTTATTAAATTAGCTTATATCTAGTAACAGCATTTTTACTGAGAAGTTAAACTCAGAATAATATTTAGCAAAAATAATAATAGATCTATAAGTCTTTTTAAGAGTTCTGTTAAGTCTTTGTGTTCTTAAAAATGTTCTATCTATAAATTCATAGACCAAAGAATTTTAATACAGACAGTGCTGTGATCTAAAATGTTGGGTTTTATTTTTTAGAAAACATCACTGGGTTCTTCAAAGCTTCTGACTCATTCTACAGCCTTCATTCATAGAGAAGTTTTTAAAAATTAGATGTAATTATATACGCAGAGCAAAATAAGACATAATCATTTTGGCAATAAATGTATAATTTGCTTGAAATAACTATGCAGCTGTTAGAAACAGAAAAACAGATCTATTTTAATTTTTCTCATTAAAACTTCTCATTAATAATTTCAAGAAATTATTAGTAAGTTACCCAGAAGAAAATAAACTTGTTTAGCTCCCCACCATTCAGTAATCTTGAGTTGAACCTTAACTAAGAAAAAAAAGTCATATTTTTACCAATATAAACTTTCTCAGTATTTAGGACGAAAATGAAAACCAAGCAAAAGTAAACAAACCAATCATAATAAAGCTTTCTATGCTAATGTGACGCTTAGTCATAAATGCCCAAAACGCTTAATTCTCAGTTGCTTCTACACTTTTACTTTTAAAAATTATACCTGAGGAACATTTGAGACAACAGAGCACTCTGTATGAGCTCTGAGTGTCAATGCCACCGCCCTATGCCTCACGGACTGGAAACACAGACGACGACATTGCTTCTCAATCTTTCGTCTCAGGGGCTCCAACGCTGCGGGCCACCTTCCACAGGAGCAAAAGACTTGTGCACTTAGCCTTCGCCCTGGCTCTCTCCTTTCCCTGCCTTCACCAAGACCTCCCCAACTGCCATCTCACCCTTTACATGTTTGCGTTTTCTGGCAAAACAGTTCAAATCTTTTAAGAAAACGTGGGGGAAGGACAGACAAGAATGAGGCAGACCTGAAATGAACATGAGTTATGTATCAGGACACAGGAATGAGCCCAGGCGACGAGCGTTCAGTGACGCGTGCCTACGCCACACTAGGCTGCAGACCACAGTGCGGGCTCTCGCCACACGTTAAGCGAAGCCCAGCAGCAACAGCGTAGTGCAGACTAAAATGCCTGCCATTCCCAAGATATTTTACTACCTTCAGATCTTAAAAAAAAAGACTTCTTGGTAGCCCTGTCCTCGGAGGAAACTTGCTCCCTCAGGTGAGCAGATTCAAACGAAGGTGGCTGCCCACCAGGGGCTCAGGCCCATGGAAAGGGGGCCTGGGGACCTCGTCTACCTGCGACTGGATCACTGGAAGGAGGGACATACAGGATGAGAACACCGACTGAGCATTTGACACTTAAAACACACACACACAAAATACCCTCAACCCACATCTTAAGGCTTGGGACAGACATTTGCTAAGGGTAACAAGAAACAGTTGTTTAGGCACCATAGCTCTATCATTCCCTTAGGATGAGTTCTTTGCTATCAAAATATGCTTGCTGGAAAGAAGTGTACCTGTGTGTTAACAGTTCAGCGTGGACTAGATGTTGACACTAGTTTCCCAAAATACATTCAGACCCCTTTAGAATTGCCTTTGGTGTGCCTTCTGTATATCTTGAGTGATGCAAACTATCATGGATTAGGAAGAGAGCGTCCAGTGTTTGGAAGCAGCCTTTTACTGGAGTGGGGCGTACATCTGAGTAACAAATGTTGCTGGTCACCACGTCAGAGAATCACGGTGCCTATGGTAGTTCTTCAAGTAAAGGACCTGTTCTCCCTGCTGTGGTGGCATTGAGCAGTCCCAGCCTCAGTCAGGTGCAGCCAGAGAACAGCCCAGAACCATGCCTGCAGTGAAATGGGCAAAATAGGAGGGTCTGGCAACATTCAAAGGTCCATCTGCTACCCAGCACACTTTTATTGTAAAAAGTCTCCTTTTTCTCTGCCATGAGGGTGTGATGTTCATCACTGTGACCCGGATGCAGAGCAGGGGTGTCAGGAGAGGAGCCAAGTGCAAGGACACCTGCTTCAGCTGCCCATCACTGCAGGCATCTGGGGGCGGGAGACCCACCTAAACTTAAAGGCCTGCAAACTTAGGGAGATAAACTTGCAACAATGCATCATTTCTCTTCTTTTTTCTTAGAGACAGAATCTTGCTCTGCCGCCCAGGCTGAGTGCAGTGGTGCAATCATAGCTCACAGCAGCTCCGACCTCCTGGGCTCAAGTGATCCCCCTGCCTCAGCCTCCTGCGTGGCTGGGATTAAATGCACTTCTTCTTTAAGAAAAATGAGATAATTCAGTCAGTAAGTGCTCCAGGAAGGCAAATTTTAAATTAAACTCTTGTTTACTGTGCGATTTTAAAAAATATTATGCCTATGACAGTAATGGATCCTACTTTAAGAAATGAAAAAAAAATCTAAGACTGAATTTAAGAAATCTGAAGCTTAAATTTCAATATTGTTTTGCTGCTATTATTGGAAAACCAATGACACTTCTGAGAATGGCTGACAGGACTTCTACTATAAATTCATTCACGGAATGGAAGATTTATACCTCAGAAGTGAGAAAGTTTGTATGATGCTGGCCTAAATTCCAGGCAGGATATTTATTTTGCATTTTATTGAGTGAACGTAAGTCTCTGAAAACTTGAGTTTTTAAAAGAATTTAATGAATGCATTATTCATATTTTATTTTAAAGACGTGGGATACAATTCAGGATGAGCCACACAAGCGGACATTGTACAGCTAGCTGGGGCCTCCTGTCGGCCCCACTTTGCCTGGCTGGACGTCAGGCACCCGTGGACGGTGTGCGCCCGTCCCCCAACCTGGCGGCGGCCTGCCACTGCCAATCCCTAAGAGTTTTTCTTAAAATCCATCAGCACGACAGGTTTGCTCTCTTTTTCTTTTGCACACAAGTTTAGAATCTTTCTAAAATGAAAATACATATTTTTAAGAAAAGCCCTGAAAGGTGTTTTCAGAGTACTGCTAGTAATAACAAAAAGTTCCCTAAATGTTTACCTTTACCCACCTTTCTTGATGACTCTAATCTTCACCTCATATGTTTCTATCTAGTTCCTCTGTCAGAGTGACTCTTAAAAAAGCTAAAATGTTCCTATTATGTTTTATTTTATTTATATTTGACACATAACTGTACAGATTTATGGGTTACAGTATGATGTTTCAATACACTATATGCACCGCAGAACGATCAAACCGCTTTAAACACTGATCACTTCTTTGTGGTGGCAGCACTCAGCATCCTCCCTTCCAGCTATCTTGAAACACATAACATGCTACTCGCCCTCCCGACACCAGACTCACTCTAACTTCGTACCTGTTGACTAGCCCTGCCCTGTGCCCCTCCCTGCTCCCTCCCCTCAGCCTCTGGCAACCACCATTCTGCTCTCTGCTTCTATGAGACCAGCTCTTTCAGGTCCCACACAAGCAAGGTCATGTGGTATTTGTGTACTGTGCCCGGTTACTTCACCGAACATAATGTTGCCACACACAGCAGCACTGCATTCTTTTAGGGCTGAACTGCTTTCCATCGTGTGCACAGACCACATTTTCTTTATCCATTCATCCACAGATGGGCTCTTCAAAAATAAATGTTCTCCTTTTTTTTTTTGAAAGACTGATATCTTGGCAAGAGTTACCCTAAAATCCTTCTTATATGCCTGAAGATTTTTCTGCTCCCTTGCCCTACCCTTTCTACAGGTCCTCGGTTTTACAGACTCAGGATACGGGTTATTTTGTGCATTTTTTTTTTCACTACCAAGGAGCAGAAAGATTCAGCAGAGAACATGTGGAAAAACAGCCACTTGCTTTCAGGCCACATATGTGAGTCAAAGGAGAATTTATGGCACGTGTCCTCATTGACGAGAGAAGTGAATGAAGCAGCTACACTTACCTTTACCAGGCAGTTTTTATGTCCAGGTACAGCGCCGTTTACATAGATTATATCATGCTTTGTGTTTATTCTCCACACCTGAAGCATGAAACAAAGCCAAACTTAAAATTTGAGAATATGCTTGTATTACAGCAGTATGTCACTAAAAGCAAAGGATGTAAGTAGCCTGTGAGATAATCATCCTTTCAGCCCTTCAAAATGTGGAATAAGAGTTGAAAAGCTTCACATTCTACAGATGACTTTACTGTAAGACCATCACATACATGGGCAGGAAACTCTCCTCTCACATGGAAAGGTGGCTGAATGATCAGGACAGCTTGGGCACCTCAGCACACTCTGTTGGTACCACCAAGAACAGCAAGTGGAGGTTCAGCTTTATTTCCTTTCTAGTGAATGCTAGCTTCCTTAACTAGAAGCAAGAGAAGCCACAACCTCTCTGGGTCTGATTTCTAAAACAAGTGGCTGAGCAGATGATCCTCAAACAGATCACACGTGGAGAGCAACTTTCACAGAAGGGCACTGTGAAAATAAAATATTTGGAGAGGAAGTTACGTTTGGCCCACAGCTCACATCTAATGATAGGTATGTGTCAACTACAACAGAAATGGAAGTCACCCCCCCCCAAACACAAAGTACAGACAAGGTGTCTGACACATACAAAAGTGCAGGAGGAAAGGCACGTTCTCAGATTTTTTTTTTTTTTGAGTTGGAGTCTCACTCTGTCGCCCAGACTGGAGTGCTCCCGGCCACTGCAGCCTCGCCTGCTGGGCTCCGGCGATCCTTCCGCCTCAGCTTTCCAAGTAGCCGGAATTACAGGCATGCGCTACCACGCCCAGTTGATTTTTTGATTTATTGTAGAGATGAGGTCTTGCTGCCCAGGTGGGTCTCGAACCCGTGGGCTCAGGCAATCTACTCACCTCAGCCTCCCAAAGGCATGGGATTACAGGCTGAGCCACCGAGCCCGGCTACGTTCTCAGATTTAATTACATAAAATTTGAAATACTTCTACCAGTCAAAATTCATAAATAAAAGACAGCAAGAATAGAGACCAGGAGAGTGTGTCCCAAAATGTTGCCAGAAAGTATCTCTGGGCATTGTTCTTACCAGTGCCTTACTTTCTTCTCTGTACTTCCGACACTTTGAAACACATATGCATACATATACACACATACACACACCGGGTGCTTGTTTGAATAAAAACGTCATCACACAGCACCCACTTACAGCACAATGCATCTTTACTTAGATGCCCCACACGCTGCTGAAGCTGGAGACTGCAGGTAGCCGCCCCTTTAAGCAGGTGCTTTCAAGGGAACGGAGGCTGCTGCAGGGTCTTTCTGGGGCTGCTGCTTCCCCGTCTGCCTTCCTCTCCCACAGCTGCTTCCACACACCCACACCTGCCACAACCCAGGACCACCGGGTAGACCACCTTTCACCTGTGATTCTCTCACAGTGCAGCAATACACCTGCGGAGGGAGGTTCTTGTCCCCTCGTTTACAAGAAAGGAGGATGACACCTCATGCCCTGAATCTTACCTTGTCATGCAACAATATCTTGCGGACATCTTCCAGGTCCAGTAACAGACCATGAATGTTCTCGTCGATGGCTGCACTCTCCATGGCTTGGAACACATGCTTCCGCTACCACCACCACCACTGTGACCATAACACACAGGCACACACACACTCCCACACACACACCCATGCCCGTGTTCTATATCCCCTAGCAGCCACAACCCTATTAGGAGGCTGGAACACGGACACACGCTGACTCCACACCCTGGTGCCTTTGCACGGGGACAGGGCGGCTCCGAAGAACCCCACGAGAGACTTACTTTCAGTCCATAGGTCGTCCTATCTATGTTTCCCATCTTTCCAGGCATTTTAGTTCCAGGCCAGACTCTGGCAACATCCTAAGTGAGAAAACCAGAGTCGACACTTTCAGGTACTCTCAGTTTCAAACAGTACTGGTTAAACACAATGCAAACGAGAGAAATTATGATGTTTTGTTTCTTCCCTGTTCTACGAGGCCCCAGTAAGGAACTAAATTTGGACTTGGACATATTTGCTTTGAGAGGATTCCCTTTCCAAATGAGCCTAGACAAAATAAACACAGACAAAGAAACAGGTTTAAGAGAAAAACTCAGCAGCAAGAGAGCAGCAACTGCCCTACCACTGACGGAGAAGTAAAAGAGGAAAAGGTCACCCACACGTCACACCAAAGCTCATAGACCGCATACACCTGGCCCGTTCCACCCCTCTCCTCCCGACGGCTCTGGCCGACAGCTCTGGCTCATGCCTGCTGCTGGGGCGGCCGACCCCTGCCCTCCTTGGCCAAATGACTAAAGGGCCGAGCCAGCACTCAGGACACTATATCTTCTGGCCCTGGGCATCTCTGAGTCACATAACTTCCACAGTGCCCCACAGTCTCTGTGGCTCTGATAACAGGCAGCATTCTACGTCTGGAGAAGCAAATCTGAGCTGCGTCTAAATGGGAACGCTGCTCAGGACACAGGAATTCTCACCCGTCAGCCGCCCTCACATCAACAGGGGACGGGTGGACATGGCTCACTGTGGAATCAGAGTGGCTTAATATGGAACCAACAGGGTTTGAAAGCCAACTCTGAGTGCTGCCGACTGAGCATCACTCTTATTCATTCTACAAAGACATTCTGTGACAAACACTGAGTTTAACGTGACTAAAATGTTCCAGCAGACAGAGCTGACACACACACACACATACACACACACACACCCCTCCCAGCTCCACCTACTTCTCTCCCTCTGAGCACATGTGCACAGCCCCACAATGCATGCACACTTACCCCTTTAATTCAAATGCAGCACTATGGGGTTCATCCCTACGCCCCCCTTTACATGCCTCGATACCCTTTTCTGATAGTGAGAAACCTGGCTCCCACTGTCCATATATTTACTTATCTGCTCAATCCTATAATTCACAAAAAGTATTTCAGTGATGCTAGTAGATACGACTTCGAGAAACAAACCTAGAATCAAACACTGTACACAGTGTATTTTTATCTTGGACTCAGAGTATAAAACCAAACTACAGATGCTCCCTGACTAACGATGGGATTTCTCCCAATAAACCCGCCCGAAGTGGAAAACGCCGGGAGCCGCAACGCCTTTAATGCTCCCAACTGACCAAGCAGCTCAGCCTCGCCCACCCTGCGCTCAGACAATCTCGGACACTCGTACGAGCCTGCAGGCGGGAACAGCCACCTTCCCAAGGCCCATTCTACAGTCCACCCTTTCTTCAGCAGTCAGCTTCAGAGCAAAGGACAGGAGGCAGAGAAGGGAAAGGGAGTGCCGGCCTCAGGGTTCTGGGAACACTGGGTGCAGGCACGCGGGGCACGACGAAACAATTCAAGCCTGGCTCTGGCAGTGCGGGGGGCCGGGCCCACGAAAGGGAGGCAAGCGCTTGGCCCACCCAGAGGCAGCGAGATTCACATGACTTGGTCTCAGGACGGACTGACCACTGCATGTGCAGACGCTACCTGCCAGCTGCAAAAGGAGTGTGCGGTAATACTCACGCCAGTTGAAATGGCTCCAGGTCTCCTGTGGGTTTTCGTCTGACCATGCGAGGCAGGCTGGCCTTTAAATCCCCATCTCTTCATGACGCCTTGAAAACCTTTACCAATGCTGAACAAAACAAATGCAGAATTGACATAATGCACAAGCACAAAATATTCCCAACTGTATACTGTCTCGGTAGCACCTCAGAGTTTTAACAACGTCTCTTATCTAAATAATTCAGAAAGGCAGCACGAGGAAAAAAGCAGAGGAACACTCCTTTATCTCTGGCCCGGTTTGCACCCCTTCCTGGAGTTCTAATTCTACATAACATAACTAATTCAAGACTGCGGGACGGCAGCAAGCTCAGCACAGGGAAAGTTATCTGAACAGGGAGCCCATCACCCTCATCCCGTGACGATGATGTGGGGAAAATGGTGCAGTCCCACAAGTCCCCAAGCACTAGCAACAGACAAGGCAGGCAGCCACTAAGATGGACCCCAAGGTCCCCACCTCTTGGTACTCATGCTCTTGCTAATCCTCCTCCTTGGGTCTGGGCTCGTGAGCCAGTGCTGTGCTTCTAATGAATAAAATATGGTGGCCGGGCGTGGTGGCTCATGCCTGTAAGTATCAGCACTTTGGGAGGCCAAGGTGGGAGGCCTGCTTGAGCCCAGGAGTTCAAGACCAGCCCGAGCAAGACAGCAAGACCTCATCTCTGCAAAAAATACAAATATCAGCAAGGTATGGTGGTACGCGCCTGTAGTCCCAGCTACTCGGGAGGCTGAGGCAAAATGACCACTGGATCCCAGGAGGTTGAGGTTGCCATGAGCTGTGACCGTGCCACTGCACTCCAGCCTGGGCCACAGAGTGAGACGCCAATTCAAAAACCAAAATGAAATATGGCAAGAGTGATGCGCCATCACTTCTGAGATCCGGGCACAAAGAGACTGCAGCTTCCGCTGTGGCACTCTCCTGCTCACCAGGCTGTGACAGAAGCCACCGGCCTCCAGGGAGGCGCACGGCAAGCACGTCTCCAGCCGTCACGTGAGACCGGGCCTGCCGAGCGCCTGTGACGAGGGTAGAGGCAGAGTCTCCCCAGGGATCCCCAAGAGGCTGCAGGCCTGAGCCGGGGCGCCTGGGCGAGGCAGGTCAGGATGCCCGCCACACAAACCACAAGGCAGAGCACGTCTGCCATCTCCAGCTATTGCGTGTTAGGGGCATCGCTGGGCATTAGACGCCAGCACAACAGAGGACTGAACTAGCAACACTCTATGTGCGGGACAGGCTTTCTTTTGGAGGAACCAGGTAGGTCTTAGTGTCAGAGCTGAACAGGAAGCGAATGGGCAAATAAAATCAGAGTAGTTTTTCCATTTTTAAATGGTATCACTGAGTGCGGGTGACACTCAGTGACACAGGGGCTTGGGCAGCACTGAAGTCTGACTCTGAAACGCACCACTTAGGTGCAGAGGGAGCATTCCCCAGCACAAGAGGCCATGAGTGACACGCCCACAGCGATGTCATAGGATGCAAAAAAAGGGAAGCCTTTACTCCAGGATCAGGGACAAGACAGGGATGCCTGTTCTCACCACTTCTATTCAACGCAGTGCTGGAAGTCTCAGACAAAGCCAGTTAGCAAGAGAAAGAAAGAGAAGCCATCAATTGGAAGGAGGAAGTCAAACTGTTCCTGTTTGCAGATGGCACAATCTTATGCATAAGGAGTCCCAGAGACGCCACCCAAAACTGTTAGAACTCATAAATTCAGTAAAGGTGCTGAACATGAAATCAACACACAAAAATCAGCAGTGCTTCTACACACTAACAATGAACTATCTGAACAAAAAATCTAGAAGATAATTCCATTTGCAATAGCTACAAAAAATTAAACACCTAGGAATAAACTTAATAATAGAGATACAAGATCTCTACACTGAAAACTGTAAAACAGTGATGAAAGAAACGAAAGTGGACACAAGTAAATGGAAAGCCATCATGTGTCCACAGACTGGAAGAATTGTTAAAATGGCCATACTACTCAAAGCGATTTACAGACTGGATGCAATCTGTATCAAAATACCAATGACATTCTTAATGGAAATACAAAAGCAGTCCTTTCATTCACAGGGAACCACGAGAGACCCCAAACAGCCAAAGCAATCCTGAGCAAGAAGAATAAAGCTGAAGGCATCACACTACCTGATTTCAAAACATACTACATAGTCACAGTAACCAAACAGCATGGTACCGGCATAAAGAGAGACACAAAGACCAGTGGAACAGAACAGGGCTCAGAAATGAATCCATATATGGTGGCTAACTGATTTTCACAAAGGTGCCAAGAACACACACTGGGAAAAAGATAGTCTCTTCAGTAAATGGCACTGGAAAAATTAGATATCCGCACGCAGAGGAATGAGACTAGACCCTTATTTCTCACTAGATACAAAATCAACTCAAAATGCATTAAAGACTCGACTATAAAACCCTAAACTATGAATCTACCAGAAGAAAATACAGGACAAATGGTTCACAGTGTTGGGCTGGACAAGGAGTTTTTAAGTAAGACCTCAAAAGCACAGGAAACCAAAGCAAGAACAGACAAGTGGAATGACATCAAACTAAAAGCTTTGTGTATGCAAGGGAAACAATCAGCAGGGTGCAGACACTGGAGAGTCGGAGGAAATACCTGAACTGTGCCTCTGACAGGGGGTTAATACCCAAGACACGAGCAACTAAAACAACTGCAAAGGAGCTAAAACTACATAAACTAGAATGAAACAGCCCAATTCAAAAAGGGACAGAAAGACCATAACAAACATTCTCAAAAGAAGACACCCAAACGGCCCCCAGGTGAATGAAGCATGCTCACCGTCGCCAATCCTCGGGAAACACAGATCAGAACACATGGCGACTCAGCTCACCGCAGCCACCATGGCCATCATCAGAAAGACAAAGGAGCGTGCTGGTGTGAGCAAGGAGACAGGTGTGGATGGGCACAACTTCTGCGGAGAACACACGCAGCCTCCCTGGAACGCCGGGAGCATGCCCACACACACCCGCAGGCCCTGGCTGGTGTGTGCAGAGGCAGCACAGGCGTGCAGGAGACGTTGCACCCGTGCTCACCAAGTGCCACTCACGGAGCCGGGACCTAGAGGCAGCCTAGGGCCCAGCAGCAGGCACACAGACAAGGAAAATGCGCTGTGTAGACACAAGGTGTGTGAAGTGGCTGGCCACACAGGGAGTCTTGTCCAGTCACCGTGGATGGCACGCGTGTACTCTGAGAACATCTGTTGAGTGAAGCGAGGTGGACACAAGAAGGACAACCCGACCTCATCTTGGCGTGGACTCCAGAGACCTGCAGCCACGGGAACAGAGAGGAGGAGGGAGGGCTGTGGGGACGCGAGAGGCCAGCGGCGGGCACTGGGTTCCTGGGTGACAGCGGGACAGGAGGAGGAGGGCCTGGCGTTCTTGCGTTCAGCAGGGTGACTGTGGCTAACAGTCAGGCATCTTGTCCTCCAAAATAGCCAGAAGGGAGGCTGTTGGGTGTTCCCGCCACAAAGAAATGATAAATGCATGAATAATGAACGCACTAACCACTCGACATGCTCACTAGACAACATACACATGCACTAAGACATCAAAGTGTCCCCCACAGATACCCACGAAGGCAATGTGCCAATTAAAAAGCACGTTAAAAGTGTCTCTGAATATACCGGAACAAATGACACAACTAAAGGACTAGAAGGAATGATAAGACTGTGTCCAGACATATTATTATTCCCTTAAGATGAAGATCTTTTTACCTCACACTAGATAATATGTCAACGTATTTCTAACGTAGTGTTCTTTAACCCCAACAGAGCTAGCTATTATTAAATAGAAGACGGTGCATTACTCAGGAAATTTACAAAGAGCAAAAGGATAAGAGAGGGAAAAGTGCCTTATTTCCACGAGGACTTTGCTATACGTTGAGCAAAGAATGATCAGAGAGCACTGACTGAAGAAAGCCCCTATGAATAATACAAGAATATAAAAGCAATTGTACATTATGTGTAGAATCAAAGAACTAAAACATAGAAATATATATTATACAAAACCCACTACCTAATTTTGCAAAGAAATTAACATTTAAGAAGAGAACCAGGTAACCCCCTCGGGTCCCCTCTCACTGTGGGAACTCTTCTCAATAAATCCCCCTTTCAAAAAAAGAAGAGAACCTATGATAATCACATATGAGGGAGACCCCAAAAACCACGGAACTGTTTGTTGGAAGACAGGCCCCTTGTACAGCCTTCCCCACGAGGAACCCCTCGGCCTCCCCACGAGTGTACCAGCTGGCAGTGCTGTGACAGGCTGCATTCAGCTTCAGTGGGGTTTTTTTTTTTTTTTTTTTT